GCTAGATTCATTTACTTGGCAGAACCTACACCTGCTTTGATTTAAAGCGTTGAAGATGGCTGTGCTGGGGGAAAAAACTCCCCATAAATTGTAAATATTCTTATGGTGCCCTACAAGCTATCCAATTTTGGATACAATACAGAATTAGAAAAATGGCAAAATTTGTGGGAAAGAAATTATAAAGTGACAATGTCAACTTCCTACAAAGAAAATTTATATAAAAGCTTTTATAGATGGCACTTGCCACCAGCAAGACTAGCAAAAATGTTTAAAAACATGTCAGATGGATGTTGGAAATGCAAACATAAGTCAGGCATTTATTACCATGTTTGGTGGACATGTGCCAAAGCGAAGAGTTATTGGAAAAAGATGCATGCCTGGCTAGAAAATATGTTGGGAGAAAACCTAGATTTTAAACCTGAATTTTTTTTTATTAGGCATAATGCCAGAAAAGACTGGTAAACGAAGCATATATTTGACTTTGCATGTTATATTTGCGCAGTATTGGAAAATTAAAGGAATACCGTCCGATGAAGAAATAATTTAAAAAAAATATTAGAATGCGCGGAGATGGATAGACTGACTCTGAGACTGAAAGAAAAAGAAGAAACTGAATATTATCAAACTTGGGACTTTTTTTATCAATGGCTAGAGCAGGGGTAGGCAACTTTGGCTCTTTTATGACTCGTGGACTTCAACTCCCAGAATTCCTGAGCCAGCCTGGCTCAGCTTGGAAACCTCTCCCTTTCCCCTCAGCGTGGCTGGCTCAGGAATTCTGGGAGTTGAAGTCCACGAGTCATAAAAGGGCCAAGGTTGCCTACCTCTGGCCTAGGCCTAGGCCGCTTTATGACTCGTGGACTTCAACTCCCAGAATTCCTGAGCCAGCATGGCTGAGCTTGGAAACCTCCCTTTTCCCTCAGCGTGGCTGGCTCAGGAATTCTGGGAGTTGAAGTCCACGAGTCATAAAAGAGCCAAGGTTGCCCGCCCCTGCCCTAGGGCCTAGAGCAGGGGTAAGCAACCTTGGCTCTTTTATGACTCGTGGACTTCAACTCCCAGAATTCCTGAGCCAGCATGGCTCAGCTTGGAAACCTCTCCCTTTCCCCTCAGCATGGCTGGCTCAGGAATTCTGGGAGTTGAAGTCCCCGAGTCATAAAAGAGCCAAGGTTGCCTACCCCTGGCTAGAGGAAAGAATAAAGGATTAGGAACTAAATATGTATTAGTCAGACAGCATGCTTATTGAACAAATACTATTGAATGTATGGAAAAAATCAATAAAATGTAAAAAAAAAAGCTATCCAATTTATAAGACCATTATTTGGCTGGAGTCCACTTGATGAGGTACAGTGGAGGCTGATATATTGTACAGTATATAGTTGGAACCAACTGAAAGACACAAATCCATGAAAGTTTACAACGTTATGTACTACTTAAGTTTATAAGTTACCACAAGACTGCTTTTATTCTATGAATAAAGTCAAATAATTATTCCTGTGGAAGGAAAGAGTAATAGTTTCAGGGAAATGCTATGGAGATTCTCAATCATCCAGGTCATGATTGTCCCAAAGGTACTTTTTCTTGAGGCAACTGGACTTACTTTGTTTTTCCTTGAAGACATTTCGCTTCTCATCCAAGAAGCTTCTTCACTTCAGACTGAATGGTGGGGAATAGAAGGATTTATATTCCTTGCAGTCATCTGGTTGAGGGGGGGGGATATGACACCACCAATTCCCTGTTTACAACACAGTCCTTTCGACAGTTCCAAGAAGTCTCCACACCCATTTGCACTATTCAGATGAATCTGAGGATACAGATAAACTCCCACATGGCCTCAACAACTCTCAGAGGGAATGCTAATGACCAGATGACTGCAAGGAATGCACATCCTTCCATTTCCCATTATTCTATCAGAACTGAAGAAGCCTCTTGGGATGAGAAGTGAAATGTCTTCAAGGAAAAACAAAGAAAGTCCTGTTGCCTCTTGAAAAAGTACCTTTTGGGTTTCAGAGATATAATACGGTAAAACAATGGATATAATAATAAAAAAACCATAATAATTTAAATACTAAGTAATAGTACCATAAATAAATAAATAAATAAATAAATAAATACACTCTACAGATTTTAAAACCATCCTCTTAATATGTTTGGGCATGGGGTGAAGTGAGAATGTATTTCTTTCATAAATTTTGGGTGGGATTGAGGATTTATTTTAAGGGGGGGGCAAGCAGGCTCGTCCAGTTTACTATTTCTTGCCTGAAATTGGTAGGGAAAACACATCACTAATGTCAACATTTCAACGGAGAAAATTTGAAGGTCTTAAAGGGTTGCCCCTTAGAGGTTAGAGGAGGGGGTCTCCAAACTTGTAGACTTCAACTTATAGGGGGGGTCTCTCCAAATCTGTAGACTTCAACTCCCAGAATTCCTCAGTCAGCTATGCTGGCTTGGGAATTCTGGGAGTTGAAGTCCACAAGTCTCCAAGTTAACAAGTTTGGAGACTCCTGGGTGAGAGGCCAAAAATAAGCGGTGGGATGAGGAAGACGGAAATAAAGAACAGGCCGAAATTAACCCCGGGCTCATGTAATGCAAAATGAACGGATCCCATTATATTTATCTGACTAACTAATGCTTTTCTTATATATGATAATGGCTTAAGGTGAGATGATTCTGCATTCAGCCAGCATCCAGGACAACACGGTCTTCAGCCGAGTCTTTCAGATCTTGTACCGGAATGAAGAGATTCTCCTCAACGAATCCATGGCCTTCTCTGTGCATCTCCTCCTGGATGGTGAGAGGGTGAGATGGTTTTGATTCTCTTAAAGAAGACTCCCCCTCGCACATATATGAGCATGAGCGGAAATACATCCATGGTTATAGGTACAGTGACACCTCACTGTTAATTGGTTCTGGGAGTAGCAAAAATGATGAGTTCCACGCACATTTTTGCCATAAGGAATAATGTAGTGAGTCACAAGGCAGCTAACACCAACAGGTTCTAGCTTGGGCATTGAGTACTGAACAAACAATGAGTACGGGGACAACATTTTCACGTCAAAATGCACCGAGTACCAAATTTGATGAGTTTCAAAGCAGTTGAGTAAAAAGGTACCACTGTATTAAACAATTGTTTTTCCAATAGAAGAGACCATCTGTAGATTGGTGGAATATACAGCGGTGGGGAGGCACCACCAGTGTCAGGGAGGCAGCCACTGAGGGTAAGGGGATCTCCCTGAGGTCGTCGACTTACGATCACAATTGGGCCCCGAAACAACTCCCCCTTGGGGCTGGACTAGAAGACCTCCAAGGTCCCTTCCAACTTTGCTACTCTATGATTCTGTAAGGGTCTCCAGCTTGAGCAGGGGGTTGGACTAGATGACTTCCAAGGTCCCTTCCAACTCTGCTACTCTGATTCTGTAAAGGAATATCCAACTAGACTGGAGGGAGGTGTTAAGAATGGGGTGAGCTGAAGAGTCCTTGCACTGCAGAAAGTGGTACAAACCTGACCTCCCCCAGAATCTCTGAGGCCTTATCCAACTGTTCCCAAGGGAATGTAGCCAGACTGGAGAGATTCTAGTAACACAAGTGAATAACAATAAAGTTTCTCCTTGAGAATGTTCATGGGTGGTTCTAGTTGTTTGTGCTTGACAGTAACCCAGGGTTGAACTGTGGGGTCCCTGGAACTCTCTGAAATTGTTTGTTTGCTTGCAAACATTTCATTACCCAACTAGGTAACACCATCATGTTGAAAGAAAAGTCTTCATTGTGGTTCAGTCCAAGCTGGGAATAAGCATGGCGACTGCTTTAGAAAGAAGGTTGCAGTTTATTGAAGAGGAGAGCCAGACAGAAAGATGGCTCTGGCAGAAAAAGAAAAAAAGGGCTGAGCACATGTAGGAAGTGGGTTTTTTTTACCCTCCGGAGCCTTTTGTTTGGAGTTGCTTCCTGTTCCTGTTTTGAGGCTTTGTATTTCTTGTGTCATGTATTTTGACCTGTGTCTGGGTGTGCCCTTTGGCATCTGTGGGTTAATCCTATTATGTCCTGTCTTAGACTTTGGGTGGGGTATGAAGATTTTAGGTGTCTTTGTCTTCTTAATCTTCTAGCTGGGGGCCTCCAACATTCCTGAATGGTTTACATCTGCATTTCTACAGAGCTGGTTTCTGCTTGGGGGAGGGAGACTTGGGGCTATTAAGAAAAACTGGGCATGCTTTTCTGCCTCTTTAACATCCTTTGAGGAAATATATTTTCCTGCTTTTTTAATATTTCCTTCTCTGGGTGGGGGGGGGGTGACTTCCCACAATCAGTATGGGAGCACTAAAACATCCACAGATTTGTTATACATGTCTTGTCATATTGGCTTGGAGTGCATTTGAAACCACTTAAACTGTCCTTGTATCACTCAGTCAGAGCTGCTTTCACAAAGGAATTTCTCCCCCTGCTTCCTGGCAGGTAGACAGGCCAGTAGTAAGACAAGGAGAGAGAAAATATTAAAGGAGAGAAGTGAACATTTCTGTGATTCTAAACATATTGGACTGAAGGATACTCATGTATGTCCAAAAGATTGTGTTAGCTGTACTTAGAATCCCATCATAGTTATTATGGAATAATGACTGCAATGCCATTGATTTCAACAAATAGGAACTGCAGCTAAGAAGCTACATTAGCTACATTGAGTGAGATACCTAGCACCTTGGAATACAGAAATAAAAATTCAAAATAATTTTGGGAGTTTAGAAAATGGGCTGAACATGACAGAATAAAATTTCACAAGAGACAAATGCAGAATTCTTCTTTTAGGAAACAACATTCAAATTCACAATAACAGCAGGGGAGTATGGAACTTCCTGACCTAACCCTAACCCATCATCCATCCATCCATCCATCCATCCATCCATCCATCCATCCATCCATCCATCCATCCATCCATCCATCTATCTATCTATCTATCTATCTATCTATCTATCTAAACTAACTAACTATCCATCACCCTTCCTCCCTCCCTCCCTCCCTTCCTCCCTACCTCCCTACCTACCTACCTACCTACCTACCTATCATCTATCATTATCTATCTTGTAGATTGCATTGCATTCATCTTCTGTTCATTCCCTCATTCTTCCTTTCTATTTCCTCCCTCCCCTCCCCACTCTTCTCCTTTCTCTTCTTCCCAGAGATTCATATGTCAGCTTTTACTAATAGATTTTATTTTGTTTTCTAAACTTGTTCTCAGGTGGAAGAAGCATTATGTGAAGCTGACTTTCAGCTCAAGCTGGACCTGCTTTTTACAGACAGTGAACAACAGTGAGTAGTTTGCCTTTTTAAGATGAAGTGCTAGTCTCTTGCAAGCAAGAGAGCAAAGAATCTGAAGGTATTTTAAAATTAGGAAATATGTTTTCCTGAACCCCGGTCTGCTTAAACAAATGCATGGAGTATTAGGTATGCATGAGACAGTTATTGGACACAGAGGAAAGAATCACGAAAAGAACATAGAGGAACAATCCTGTAGATAATCCCCTCTGCTGCATCAGCGTCCTGATGATTCAATACAAAGCATGACTACATAAATATTGCCAGTTTTTATTGTTTACTTTCCTCTTAACAAGAGCAATTTAGGATCATAATCTAGTGTATGTTGACAGTTTCTAGTAAAATGGCACTGTTGGAGGAGAAGGAAAAAACAGAGGAGAAGGGGGAAGAAGGAGAAGGAGAACAAGCAGGGGAAGGTGGTGGAGGAGGAGGATAAGGAGAGAAAGGGGGAGAAGGAGAAGAAGGAGGACAAGGAGAGAAAGGGGGAAAAGGAGAAGGAGAAAAAGGAGGAGAAGGAGAAGGAGAAAAAGGAGAAGGAGAACAAGAAGGGGAAAATGGAGAAGGAGGAGGAGAGAAAGGGGAGAAGGAGAAGAAGGAGGACAAGGAGAGGAAGAGGGACAAGAAGAAGGAGAAGAAAGGACAAGGAGAGAAAGAGGGAGAAGGAGAAAAAGGAGGACAAGGAGAGGAAGGGAGAGAAGGAGGAGGAGGAGAAGGAGAGAAAGGGGAGGAGGAGAAGGAGAAGAAGGAGGACAAGGAGAGGAAGGGGAGAAAAAGGAGAAGGAGAGGAAGGGGAACAAGGAGAAAAAGAAGGACAAGAAGATGAAGGGGGAGAAGGAGAAGAAGGAGGAGGAGGAGGAGGAGAAGGAGAAGGAGAGGAAGAGGGAAAAGGAGAAGAAGGATGAGAAGAGGAAGGGGGAGGAGGAGGATAAGGAGAGGAAGGGGGAGAATGAGAAGAAGAAGGACAAGGAGAGAAAGGCAGAGAAGGAGAAGTGTAAAAGGAAATGGAAAAGAAAAGAAAAGATGACTGCACAAACGGTAGAAGGCAAACCATTTGAGGATTTCCAGGGCAGCATCAAGAAACTGACCCTGTTGTTGCAATAATTACCATGTAGAGAGTTGAGCTGCTACCTTAGAAGTATGACTCACTGCTCAGAGAATAACAGCCCATGATCAAAATTCTGCTCACGCCTGAAACTCTGCAGCAGCAGCAGCAACAGTGTCGCAGAGTAAGCCAATGTCTCGCTTTTCTCAACTCTTCCATCCTCTCCTTCCAGGCTCAGAGACGTCCTGACCATCCCGGTAATAAGCAGCCGCACGTTGGGCCTCCACCTCCATCCCAAGCAAGGCCTACATCACCATGTCCCTGTCATGTTTGACTACTTCCACCTGTCGGCAGTCACGGTTACTCTGCATGCATCTCTGGTGGCTTTAAACCAGCCCCTTCTCAGGTACAGTGAGCCCCTACTTTCTGAAGAGACAATGCAAAAGGACTTTGCAAATCCTCCTGAAGTTACGCACATTTTTTCCCAGGCGGGCCGATATATCAGCTCTCTTCAAACCCTTAAAGCAGACACGTCTTTGGATTTAAATATCCAAAGCAAAGCAAAGTGGTTTTGCCCTGCAGTCAGTCCATGATGGCAAGAACTGGGAGTTGCTTTCAAAGAAGGTGGACGAGCCTGGAAAAAGACGCGGCTGTTTTAATGATTTTGAAGAGAAGCCCTTTGCGCTCCTACATAATCAATTTTGAAGGACTGGCCCAGCCCTGAACATGACTTTTGCCTTCTGCACTTCGGCACTCCACCGCAGTCTTAAGATGCATGAACAGAGGGAGAGAATCAAGATCATGTGAAGTGCTAATGTCACTTTATAAGGCCTTGATAAACTCCTATTTGGAATACTGCATCTAGTTTTGGTCTCCACAAAATAAAAATAAAAAAATGTTGAGACTCTAGAAAGAGGGCAGAGAAGAGCAACAAAGATGATCAGGGGACTGGAGGCTAAAACATAAGGAACGGTTGCTGGAATTGGGTATGTCTAGTTTAATGAAAAGAAGGATGAGGGGGGACATGATGGCAGCCTTCCAGTATTTCAGGGGTTGCCACAAAGAAGAGAGAGTCAGTTAGAACAATTAATCAGTAGAACAACCTGCCTCCAGAAGCTATGAATGCTCCAACACTGGAAGTTTTTAAGAAGAGACTGGACAGCCACTTGTCTGAAATGGTATAGGGCAGTGATGGTGAACTTTTTAGAGACCGAGTGCCCAAACTGCAACCCAAAACCCACTTATGTATCGTCGGGTGCCAGGTGGGTGTGGCCCATTGGGTGGGTGGGGCCAATTGGGTTGCCGTGGCTGTGGTGGGGCCCATTGGGTTGCCGTGGCTGTGGTGGTAATGGTAGACTGGGTGGGACTAAAAAGTTCAATCAATCAATTCCAACTTTGTGAGATCTTTTTTTTTCCCCACGAGAAGTTGAAATTGATTGATTGAACCTTTTTTTTCACATGGCGGCGGAGGCCTAAAGCAAAAAGATTTTATAAAACCCAGCTGAAGGCCTAGGACTGGGGCAACAGTGCACGTGCCCACAGAGAGGGCTCTGTGTGCCACCTGTGGCACGCGTGCCGTAGGTTCGCCACCACGGGTATAGGGTTTCCTGCCTGAGCAGGGGGTTAGACTAGAAGTCCTCCAAGGTTCCTCCCAACTCTGTTATTCTGCTATTTTCTGTTATTTTAACTCTCTGAACCATCATCTAATCCTCTCTAGATGAGATGGGGAGCACATAAATCTAATAAGTAAATAAAAGTGTATGGTTTGCTCCCTGTTTGTACACAGTAGCTTGCCCTGCCAGTTTGGATTAGGTGTGGTTTTTCTTGGTAATTCTTTGAGCAAGGAATTGAATCAAGGATTGAGCTACAGATATTCTCCTCTACTGAATATTTCTCAGATTCTGCTTCTTCCTAAATAGCTTTACAGGCACATGAAAATATCCAGCTTTTCCCCGTTCAGAAAGGAAGGCACGAGCGAGAGAGATTTTGATTATAAAAATATACCTTCCTGAGTTTTCCACATCTTCTGTCTTTGTTTAGTTTTGCTCGTCCAGGAAGATCTTCCTGGCTTGGAAAAGGAAACTTGGACCCTGGACCAGATCCGCCTGGGATGTCACTGGAAAACCTGGTCTTCGGAGCGGGCTACTGCAGACCGACAACTTCAGAGGTAAAAAGCTGTTATGTGGAGGTGTTGACGACACTCCAAAATGAGAGGGCCACCAAGCTGTCGATGAGTTGTTGCATTTCTTAAAAATACAGTAATCCTCAATTTACAACCATTGGTTTAGCTACTATGGGAAGTTACAATAGCACTGAAAAAGTGACACGACCATTTTCCAAACCTACAACCGTTGCAGCATCCCAATGATCACATGATCAAAATTTGGATGTTTGGCAACTGGCATGTACTTATGAAGGTTGCATGCCCTGAGGTCATGGGATCCCCTTTTGCAACCTCCTGACAAGCAAATTCAATGGAGAAACCAAATTCACTTAACAACTGTGGCAAGAAGGGTCATAAAATGGGGCAAAACTCATTTAACAACTGTCTCACTTAGCGACAAAAGTTGTGGTCATAAGCTGAGGACCTTTCTGTTTTCACCAATGAAATTAGGTAAATGAAACCGGTCTAATAGAACACCTGGTCTACTGCTATGATTACTTTTGCCTTCCAGCCCCAATCTAGGAGCGTTTTGTAGGCTCAAGTCGCTACTGTGATAAACTATTTCTGTAAATTTAGATTTTGCTGACAAAGAGTTAAAGGGAGACTAGTATAGCTATTTCGAGCTATTTAGCTCTCATCAGCTAGCTCAAAATAGCTATACTAGTCTCCCTTTAACTCTTTGTCAGCAAAATCTAAATTTACATACACACATACACACACACATATGTATATATACGTATGTGTATGTGTATATGTCAATATATATATATATATTGTATTGGATGTTAACAGGAGACTCTGCCACTTATTCTTTTAATATGGTTCGTTTTACAAAATATTTATTCTTACAATGGCACTTTTATTTATTTAGCACACGGCATACAATGTCAGGGAAAGCTGCATATGGTAGACACACAATGCAGTCTTGACAGCCTAGGAGGCTAATTCATTCTGTTCAGCACTTAAATGCCTATCCTTGGTGAAACTGGGGGAGGTGGTAAACTAGCTTTACACCAGCTAACTAGTGGTTGTACTCGGGTTGCTGGCTTTTCTGGGCTCTTCCACAGGTCTTTCCTTTCCTCGCCTTATGTTGTGCTGCCTCGCATCCAGCCAGGTCCAACTCTAGGTTCTGCTCTCTGCACACATTAATGTAGCTAGGTTTTTCCCATGGAAGTGGTACCCATTTATCTACTTGCAGTATTGCATGGTTTCAAATGATTGCTGGGTGGGCAGGAGCTCGAGATCAAGTGACAGGAGCTCACTCCGTCTCAAAGAGCCGGGCTCAAACCGTTGGAGTGCAGACCATTTTTGGCTGGCAGTTCCAGTGTCATTAATCCTCTGCGCCACTGTGTCCCCTTGATGGCATTTTATCCCACCCTCCCATCCACTTATTCTGCTTACTTGTCACCCTTGTTCTGATTTAATTAATCTTTTTTTTCCACTGCCCAGAAATCAATTGACATTTTTTTTTTAAATTTCCCCTTGGATGCTAAAAAATAATAATAATCGTTTGGAATTGGACTTTATTAGCAGAGTGAGCCAAAGAGAAGCAAGATGTTTACATATTTTCAGTTTGCTCAGATTTTATGGAAAAAAAGTCTAGCCCTTAGGTTAGGCACATTGATGTACTAGAGCAGTGGTGGCGAACCTATGGCACGGGTGCCACAGGCAGCACTCGGAGCCCTCTCTGTGGGCACACATGCTGTTGCCCCAACCTTGCCTCTTCCCATGAACCCCTCCTCACAAGCAGCCCCCCTGGAGGAGAGTCGACCTCGAGTGTGGCCCATGCAGAGCAGCACAGCCAAAGACATGGCAGCCAGGCAGTATAGCACGGGCAGAGGGCGTGGCCACCATGGCGCTGCTGGGCTGTCTGGGTGATCTGCAGCGGGTGATCTGAGGCGGTGAGTGGCCCTGCGGGCAGGTGGGGTGGGGGCGGGGGTGGAGCAGGGAAGGGGCCAGTTTTGGCCTCTCGGTCTCTAAAAGGTCCGCCATCACTGTACTAGAGGTTGTTTTTAATGGTTGATTTCCATTATTTATAGATATGTTTAAGGTGTTTCTTTGGGACTTTGTTGTATATGTTTGGATCAGGTTGGGCTATCGATGTTGTGTAAATGGATGCATGGAGAACAGTGTAGCAAAGAAAGGCTAGCAAATGCTTGCATGGCTATTATGATTAATTATTAAATTGATATTCCACCTGACTCCCAATGAGTAAGAATGATAACACAATAATTGTATGAACATAGAAGACACAGTCATAGGATAACAGAGTTGGAATGGACCTTGGAGGTCATCTAGTCCACTCCAGTCTGTCCTTAAGAGCCTCCAGTGATGGGGTGCCCACAACCTCTGAAGGTAAGCTATTCCATTGATGGATTGTTCTCACCCTAAGGAAATTTGTCCTTAGTTTCTAGGCTGCTTCTCTCTTTGCTCAGTTTCCATCCATTGTTTCTTGTCTCGCCTTTTGGTCCTTTGGAGAATAGCTTGACTCCCTCTTCTTTGTGGCAGCCCCTGAGATACTGGAACCTTGCTATCATGTCCCCCCTCGTCCTTCTCTTCGTTAAACTAGACATACCCAATTCCAGCAGCCGTTCCTTATATGCTTTAGCCTCCAGTCCCCTAATCATCTTTGTTGCTCTTCTCTGTACTCTTTCTGGAGTCTCAACATCTTTTTTACATCGTGGTGACCAAAACTGGATGCAGTATTCGTAGTATGGTCCTACTAAGGCTTTTTAAAGTGGTACTAGTACTTCACGTGATTCTGATTCTTTCCCTCTATAAATGCAGCCTAGGATTACATTGGCTTTTTTTTTTTGCTGGCGCCGCACATTGTTCGCTCATATTTAAGTGGTTGTCCACTAGTACTCCAACATCCCATTCACAGTTACCAGCATTGACCTAGTCTGTATCTGTACAGTTGGTTTTTCTTGCCTAAGTGTAGAACCTTACTCTTCTCTACATGAATTTCATTTAGATGGGGCCAAGTGTTCAAGACTGTCAAGATCCATCTGGATTTTAAGCCTGTCTTCTGGGCTGTTGGCTATTCCTGTGTCTCCATGCCTTTCCTACCCAAAATATGCAATTTTGGCTGACTCATCAACGTCTAATAGCAAGGAAATGCTACATGGGACAAATGGCAGACTTAGTTTGTCAGTTGAAACAGTCCAGCGAGAAAGAACAAGGTGTTTTCATCAGAAGAATTTGCCTTTTCTTGCAACGACTGGGTTTCCGTGACAGTCCTGCTCTATTTGAAAAGTGACAGCCATACAAGTAATGATGACAGGCCACTTTTGATCTCCCAGCTCCTGGGCCTGATTTATTTAATTCCTTTTGCAGCACGGAGATGGGTTCGGCAGAAATCCGTGTTGCTTTTCAGCTAGCTGAAATGGTGTGGGTTACAGAGATAATTGAGATAACGAGCTTCATTCTCAAAGGCAGATAAGTCCCTGAAATGATATGTATTATCGCTTTTCTCTCTTTTCCTTCTCCCCCCATTCTGATGATGATTCAGATCCGTCTTTCCATTTCTGTTTTAGAGGGGGGGAGGGATGCAAAATGATGGGCTTGGAGGTATCAGTGCTAGAAAGCAGAAAAATAATACAAGATATCTAGAACTAAGGAGAAACTTCCTGACAGAACAATAAACCCGTGGAACAACCTGCCTCCAGAAGTGGTGAATGCTCCAACACTGGAAGTTTTTAAGAAGAGACTGGACAGCCATTTGTCTGAAATGGTATAGGATTTCCTTCCCAAGCAGGGGGTTGGACTAGATGACCTCCAAGGTCCCTTCCAACTTTATATTATTATCCTTTTTATTCCATGGATCGCTATTTCCTTCCCTCCTTTCATTTTTCCATATGCTGTAGAAATAATTTGTAACATGAGAAGGAAAGGTAAAACGGGTTATTATATTTTGGGGAGAGAAATTATATTTGGTTGTAAAGGAGGTATATATATTCTGTACCAATATTTTCCAATAGTCTTGATATTCCGACAGCACCAGTGGTGGGATTCAGCCGGTTCGCACCACTTCGGCAGAACCGGTAGCTAATTTTTTGTGGCCCAGGCCCAGAATGGATTTCTGGAAGCAGCATCCATGCAGAGAACCAATTGTTCACATATTTGAATCCAACCACTGCACAGCACCCAAACCAGAACACACCACACAGCCAACCACCATGCAAAAACTAATCCTACCATACACAACAAGGGCATTGGGAATGACAGCCAGAATTCTCCAACCTCTACGAATAACAATAGCCCCAAAACCCACAGGCACACTCTACCAGGAATTATCCAGAACTAGAGACACGATACAGAAGGAGGGAAGAAACAATATAATTTACAAAATCAATTGTAACAGTCAACCAATTCTACGTGGGATGAACATAACATCAATTCAAAACCAGAATCCAGGTAGTCAAACACCACAATCCCAAATCCCTAATCTCTACCCACACTGACATTGAAAAGCCCCAATGTGATTGGACCAATATAAGAATTATCAGCCACGCTACCCCCTGCCACGCTCATGAGTTCATCAAAGCTTGGCACTCCACAAGCAATTCTATCAACAGACACATTGACCTACAACCAGTCTACAAATCCCTTAAAATCCAAATAAACCACACAACCAACCAGTGACAGCACCAACCTTCAACCAACCCACGCAACCCTCCCCAACCAGCACTTCACCACCCAATGACCGTCACCTGGTGTGATCTCCCCATCACAAGACCTATCACAAGACCTTCACCTGACATGATCCACAGCTGACCCATCACAACACTCTCACCTGACATGACCCTCCCATCACAAGACCTACTGATCACACAAAGCCCTTCTAAGCAAAAGAATACCAACACTGAAATTCCCTAAATTCCACTCAAGATGTTACCTAGCCTGATAATGAAACGTTCTGAAACCAACCCATAAGTTCAGGACAAGAAACAATGGTTGGAAGCTGATCAAAGAGAGAAGCAACCTGGAATTAAGGAGAGCTT